AAATTAAAAATAATTAATAATCTACCACTAATATTAATTTCTATAGGATAATCATTAGGCATAATTAATCTATAGGATAATCATTAGGCATAATTAATCTATAAGATAATTATAGGCTAATCATTAGGCATAATTAATCTATAAGATAAAACGATGGGGTGTAATTTCTAAATAAATGGGGTCTAAATCCACCAAGCCTTCCTTTAAATAAATGGAGTCTAAATCCACCAAGCGGAAATCAATTATTCAATTCACAAAGTAATGATTTTGCGTGTGGATCACGTAATATGTTGGAGTGTTCATTCGTGTTTAAATTACTACTCTTTAATGTAATTAATTTATATTCATATTTATTGTTGGTTGGTATTTTAGGTATTTAATTTGTCAAATAATGGTTTTTTTTATCAATTGTGCAAGTGTGATGGTTTAGGGGTTCATTTTTTAAAACAATTGGGTAAACGATAGTTGAGTAGGAATATAGATCTATTTAGTAGGTTTGTACGGGATAAATATTTATTGGAAATTAAATGGTTGCTTGTACTGATCGAGTCACGACATCACCTCTTCCTTCCTTGTCAATATCTGGGCAAGCATATTTGTAGGTCACAGTATGTTAGTAAAAACATCCGTTCTTGCCAGACAAACACCTTTTGCTCGTTAAGAAGAAATCAGTTAACGGATAGTAAACATTCCCCAAATTTTATTTTTTAAATTGATGGATTGTGGCTCGTTTTATTCAAACTTGGAGGTGCCTACAACGCACTACTAAATAAAAGGCTTTTACCGATGGATTTTTCTGGCGGATTTTTCATCGAAAAATCACCTATGGATTCCATAAGAATAAAAAGAGTCAACTTTTGTTGATTCCTTACCCAAAAGCCGTCACAGTTGTTTATTAAAAAAAATCCTATTAAAAATCACCTATGGATTCCATAAGAATAAAAAAAAAGTCAACTTTTGTTGATTCCTTACCCAAAATCCGTCACAAATGTTTATTAAAAAAAATCCGATTAAAATTTGTCTTTTATTTTTAGCGAAATATTTATTTATTAATTATTAAAAAAACCCATTAGAAATCCTCCATAAAATTTTCCTAAAAGATATTTCTTTTTAATTAATTATATTTTTTGATGGATTTGTGGTGGAAAATAATAATTAAAATATGTCAAAAAATATCATTGAATCGAATCGGTTCCATCCATTGGATGTTATTATTGGTTATTTATTTGATCGTATTTGTTTCATCCAAACCTTTGATCCAATACTCAACCGATAATTCGTATATTTTCTTAAGTTATTAAAAAACAATGTACATAAATATCAATTAAAAAAATCATAAAATATTAAGAATTATAAATAGTTATCAATTCGATGTGTGGAATAGGATGGTCCGATGATGATTTGCAACCAACACGTATTAAATATTTGTATAAAAAGTAATTAATTTAAATCCATTGATTTGTACTAGAAGCGTACTCGTGCAATGCAGCGAGATACATCATGATTTTAATATTTTATTTTATTCTTTATCTCAGTCGATGTTATAATATGACTTTATGTGATTTTGAGAAAACGATGATGTTTTTATTTTTAAATAAAATATATGTTTGAAGATATCATAAAAATTTGGCAAAAATATATCGATATTAGTATCAAATTAATTATATGAAATTCTTCATTTTTTGTGTAATTTTTTAATTCAATTTTTTATAATTTAATTTATGTACAATAACGAAATAATTTATATTTGGTTTAATAATATAATATTGTTATAAAGATAATAATTATTTATTTTGTTGGAACTCGATAATTATTCTAATTATATTTTAGATTTTTTATATTTTAAAATGAGATGCTTATTCTCTATTTGATTATGTTTATCCGCAGTTATTTATACGAATTCAAACATCGAGCTTTAATAAGTTATACTTATGCATAATTATTTGTAATCTTGAATTTTAAGTAATATGCATCAATATACAGTACTTTATGCATAACAAAAATATATCGATATTCGTATCAAATTAACTATTT